CAAAATTACAATTTCTGTATATAAGGGATAAGATCGGATGCCACGAACCAAAAAAAAAAAACCGAGATTCGTTTGGAACATTTATGTGTCTACTAATTTTCAGATCATATTTAATTGTGTTTTTGAGCGGTAAAGATAGGACAAATCTCTGTTATGAACTTTGTTCTCAAAGCATTTTTTTTGCGCCCGAAGCAATTAAAGGGCTACCCTATACGTAGGGAGGCGGAAAATGCATTACGCATACCACGATAGCTGGTCTATCGTGGTTATGAGGGACTCACTGTCCTACCGGGGACACTAAGTGATAACCTCTAAAAACCGCCTTTAGGGACAGGCAGCCGGCTGATTAAGCTGTATTGTGCCTTATCGTGAGCGACCCTCTTTTGGGAAAAGAGGGCGCAGGCGGCTATGAGCCGCTGAGGGAGTGCCTACGAAGGCAAATTAATATTAGTTAATACAATAATTTAATTTAATTAGAGTTGGCCTGAGCCGCCAGGAGGCAGTTCAGGTCGTTTGTCAGTTTATTAGGCGGGTCCGAGAGAGAGTTTCTCGGCCTGCGGACTCGATAGCGAGAGGGGGGTGGGGCTGCATAGGTAGCTGCCTCACGAATTAATTGGTTTGGGTGCGACTCTGAGGCTTTTAAGAAGTTCTCAGAGAGTTTTTTAAGAAATTGTTGAATTGTTGGGAGCTCTAGGTCCCAATGAAAGTCGGCATTACGGACGTACCAAGGTGCGTTCGCAGCTCGACGACAGAAGAGGTTTTGAACTATTTGGAGTTCATTAATAATATTAGGGTTTGCGTGGGCAAAGACGGGGCCCGCGTAGGACATGACTGGTCGTATACCTACAGAACTTATAAAGGGTACGCTTGTTTCGAAGGGACATTTTACTGTGTCGGCCCAACATACTGTTGAGCCTACTCAGATAAAACCGTGCGTGACGGGTTACTCCTTTGACGTGGGGCCTGAAAGTGAGCCCTGTGTCCAGAGTGACACCTAAATATTTGGCGGTCGTATGCCAGGGGACAGGGGTCCCTAGCATACGTATTGGTGGAGTGTTTTTGAGACGGCGTCGTTTTTAATCGAAGTGAACGGCGGAGCTCTTCTCCGGGTTCACATCGATGCGCCATTTTTTGAACCAAGCTCCTAGGTCATCAACTGACTTTTGGATCTTGTTCCGTATGAAGGGCAGTGAGACACAAAGAGTGAGTGAGACAAAAAGACCGCGATGGTCTTATGACGACGAGGATAGAAACCGCTGAGGATATATTCCACAATGCGGTGAACTTGTTGGGGGTTCTCAAAGCAGTAGAAGGGGTTTTAAATTTACGCCCTGTCTTACCGTACAGAAACCGTTGTGTTTACAAAAGTAAAATCTTCTCATAGCCAAATTACGTTTGCGCTAATATGGATAATATGGATGTCGAGGAAATAGAATTTTTGCTAGACTCCGTCAACTAGTCGAAAATCCGTCTGGTATTTCCCCAACGTACCTTATATATAATATATATATATATAGAGTATTTTGTTATATTATAGGTAGAATATATATATATATATATATATATATATATATATATATATATATATATATATATATATATATTCTTTTCATTTAACCTACCTATAATTATAAATTATTAAAAATGTGTGTTACCCATGACATAGTGTAAAAGAAACATATGTTCCTCTTTCACCGTGAATAGTGAGCCTCTTACCCCAGCTATTGCTTTTGGAGGTTTAGATTTTCAAGCGAAAGAAACTCATATTATTAGTTGTTTTTAGACTAAAATGGTTAATAAAAAGAAATAATTACCTACAGTTTTCTCCTCATATAATTACATTCAAAATATTTCCAGCTCTCTTTTTTCACCAAACTATTGATTCGCAAAAAAAACGCGCTAACTTTGTACTAGTCGAATTCACAACTGTCAAATGTGTATTCATTTTTTGTGACTTCTGAGTCACGTAGCGATATCTGTTGAAAACCGTTCAAACTATTTCGCATTCACTGTTTTATTGAAGAAAAGTTCATAGTCATACGCACTTCGGTTTACTAGTTATGGTCGCTAGTCCCTCTTCCCCCGGTGTCCCTCTTACCCCACCTGACCTTACAGTCAAACTGTGAACCTTCTTTTTTTTGAAATTGGCTAAAAATTAATGCATTATTTTACCAAAGTAGGTAGGTATATTAAATATACAACTAGCTGAATTGCTACGCTAATGTGAAATTTGAGTAAAAGCCAAAGCTATATAAATACATATAGTTACATTTTTTTAATCATTTTGTAGTATATCTATATTCCATAATATAAATCATATTTAAAATATTATAAAATAAAAAGAAAGAATTACGACAACAATAAGAAAAACTTAAAATTGTTTCTCTAAAATAAAAAAAAACCGTTTTAGCGCATGCCCGTCGTCGCCCGTAACGCAGGCAATTGGCTCGTTTTGTCGACTCGATTTTTACAAAATACTAAAAAGGCTAAAAAGTAACTTTGGTCTCAATATATAAGAAAATCTGATAGAAGCAGATATGATAATGATAAATTAAGTGAGGCTGTCAATGCGGTATTAAATGGAACAATATCTGCATACTTCGTATCAAAACTTTATAATGTACCAAGAATAACATTTGTTAACCGTGTATACGACCACAAAGGTTTAAAATCCAAAGTGCCATTGTTATTTTTAAAAAGTGACTAACTAGGGAAAACTAGTTAGGGAGATATATTATTACCGTTTGTATGATTAAATAAATATAGAAATATAACTGGTCAACTTCTTTTTAGTTTGCCACCCCTGATCGAACCTGTATGTCCCTCTTACCCCGGATTGATTTTTTCTTCTTTTTCATTTCAAACGATACCTTATTTCATCGATTGTAAGATCTAATTTTGACCGAAGCAGTTCTACCTACAAATTAACGAGCATTTAGCGAAGAATATTTTAATTCAAAGTCCAATCTTAAGAAATACAATGACTGTCCCTCTTACCCCATGTAAGGGGGGAAGAGGACCGTTTACTCAATCTTGACATTTACGTCAATATCAAAGTAAAAACTAGATACTAGCATAAAGACATTTTGCACATGTGAAGCTAATACATAAAGGCAAGTTTTGTTTGGTTCAAAGATTTTAAAAGACTTTATCTGTTCTTCCTAGCAGTGAAAATATTTTACTGAAAATAAAGTGTCCCTCTTACCCCACCTGACCTTATGTTCTTTTTTAATATGTATATACCTACTATGTCACACTATATATTTGTCAAGAAATGTGAACCGATTATATTGATTTTAATAAATAGGTTTTATAATATATATATATATATACTCGACTCGATTTTTACAAAATACTAAAAAGGCTAAAAAGTAACTTTGGTCTCAATAAAAGATACCTGTCCTATCACTCGGAAATTGTGCTCCTTTGAAGTAAAAGAATTTCAGAATCTGATCAGCAGTTCAAATTATCATCTCATTAAATGTCAAGAAAGCTTACCTAAATACAATTTTACTTAATTAATAAATTATTAAAATTAGACCTAAAGGTGCGCAAAGTCAATCCTAAGCATGACCTCTCATCCACTGGACGGACCTCACTACGGAGTGATGGATATGTGCCTACCTATAGCAGTAGAATAGCGTTCGCTTTTCAGCGATTGAAATTAATTGAAAAACTGCAACATTTTGACTATTAAAACTGTTCCTGTAAGACGGCCGCCGAATTCGACCGTGATAAAATTAATTTGTTACATCACTCTTTAGGGCCCATTAGGAACCTACCAACAGTGCGATTAACTGTGTTCTGGTTAACGAATTCATACAATCTGACGAAATCCTCAGCTTCTGCCAAGATTTATTTCCAGGCCAATGAACTTAAACAGAAATTCTCTTGAGTATCTCAAAAAGTGTATTATTTCAATGTAATAAAGTATAAAGTTGGTAGGTGATCTGATCTACAAGACCATGAATGTCATGGCTTATACGAATCAAGAATCATGTAGTTTTCTGGCTCAAAAGTAAACTTAGGTACAAATTATGTGGATCGCTTCGATCGAGTAAGCTTATTGTTTTCGTAGAATTATTTTCAAATGGGCTTTACAAAATATTTTTATTACCTACACTGTGGAGATGTCTAGGTCATTCAACTCTAACATTACACGCGTTATTTAAAATTCACGGGCTAAAATTCACCTGCCTTAGTTTTTCGTATCGTTAAGTAATTCGATTTTTTTTTTAAATTCAATTTATACGTAGAATAATGAATAAGTGTTATTGACTTTATTGGGTCAGGAACGTAATAATTCATAAAATTTTAAGTAGATAGTTATTTAATCTATATTAATCTTTTGAACCTAAAAAGTGCGCTATATGTGTCGTAAGTGCAAAACGTAACGTAAACGTACTTAGGTACGTTAGGTATGTAGGTACCTTAACTTTTAACTTTATAGAAATGAAAGGATTTGCATAACTCAATTGGGTTTATGATAAGGGCTTTTATAACTTTTGCGTTAAGAAAATCTACTATCTACACATAATAATATAACAAGACATAATATTTTTGCATTAATATTGTATGTAACGGGGCTTTGGGAATTATTATAAAATCCAGGAAGGCATTCGGTATTTCCTGAGTTGTGAATTGTGAAACGTTTTAACGATTATGTTTTTGAAAAAGAGCATAGCAAGGTAGATTATTGCCTGCGTGGTGTACACTAGGTATTCAAGGTTATTTGAAGTGAAATGATATTCTATAACCATCTCCTTTTCACACGTAACATAGATAATACATTTATTCCATGACCTGAAGTTTGTGCACTAACTTAACATCAAATACGCGACCCTGCGGAACGGAGTGCATGATATATTTTCTTCTTTCCTACTCCCTCATTTGGTCGTCAGTGTTTGTGCAGTGAACATTGTTGTACGTAGAGCGTGGCACGTGCTGTATATTCAAATTCAATTTAATTTCTTACAGTTTTTCTTAAATTAAAAATAAATATGGCAGACGCAGCAGTTGAAAAGAAGTAAGTTTATTTAGCCATTTTCAGATATTATTTGTAATTTATTGGGAAATATATTTTTGGCGGCTACAGAAAACGTGATCAAAATGGCCTCCAATACAGTGTTTTACTCGTGTTTTCTAAGCATTTGTTGGCATCGGACGGATTTCGCGCTATTATTCGCCACGTGTTAGCTGTGAAGTTTTATACTACAGTAAATTATAGTGTACATTTATAGTTCACGGATGTTTATTGTGTTAGACGCCAATATATGAATACACGCGGGAAAAGTCCTTGGTTAGTTTTCCATATGCCTTATAAAAGTTTTGAGCATTGTAGAATAAAATTTAATGTAAAGCATTATATATTTGTATGTACTGATAGTTGTGTATGACCTTAAGTATTGGGTCGTGTAAAAATTTTTCGCATTATATTGAGCGGGGAAATGTAAGCACGCCGGCGGGCGCGAGACGATGGTTCAAGATGGCGCTGTATGCGCGGCGTGCCGGCGCGGCAGCGTCATTGGCGCGCTTGATTCAAATTCGCCTTGGCTTGTGTTTTGCAACTCGATTGTACGGCGGTTACGTTATCGCAAATCGCTAAGGCCGCATGTTGTCATTAGTTATTTTTAACGCTTTTGAGCTCGCTCGCGTCTCTGAACTGGAGGTAGCCTACTAGAGCGAGTAACACATTCATTCAGTAAACGTTTGATTTCCGTGCAACTTTCTCAGTATGTATAACTTATGTAACAACAGCTTGTTTTGTTCCGTCATACTTCTTTCAATGCGATAATTGAACGCTAAAATGGTTACAAAGTAATATAAATTACTATAATGTTAGCTACGTATTTATTATGTTAGTTACTGGCCTAGTCTGTTATTATAAAATGTGTCATTTATGGATATTATACGTGTGTAATCCTTTCTATTTCCCTGTATGGACGAGAATTAAAAAAAAAATTATATATATATATATCTTTACTTTACAGAGAAGTGGCACCCGAGGAGGTTTCATCCACGGAAGCAGCGAAAGAGTCGCCAGTGAAAAAATCCCCAGCAAAGAAGGTCTCAGAAGCACCTGAGAGCAACGGCAAAGAAGAGAATGGTAGCGGTGACGCCCCAGAAGAAACTCCTGCTGAAAATGGGGATGCTGAGGAAAGCAATGATGCCACAGAAAATGGAGATGCTACAGGTGTGCATAAAGAATAGAAACCTACCTCTGAAATATTTTATTTGTAATTTTTATTTTATTGATAATGTAACTACATGTTTACTAAATGATTATATGAACTTCTAAATATATCTATGTCAAGTATTTCATGTTAAAATTTCATAAAATTTTTAGTCTCAATTCTCACTATTTCAGAAAAAAAGGAAACTGGTGTAAAAAGGAAATCTGCAGCAGCAGATAATGGTGATACAGAAGAAAAGACCACCCCTGAAAAGAAAGTGAAAGTGGCTGAAGAGCAGCCTCAAGCTGAAGCAGAGGAAGCAGCGGCTTAAAGCCTCGACCATTTCTACGCTTGGTTTACTGCAATGCATTGACGGACAGTAGAGCTCAACTCCTAGCAGACTGATACATATCTATATTGTACTCGAATTTTTTTACAAGCAATGTGAAAACCATAGTTTTTATACATTTTACTGTTGTAATTGATCTGATTATATGCATTTTATGAAAGGAGTTGTGCTCTATTGAGACCACACTTAAATTTAGATTATACTGTGTCTGATTAAAAAGTATCTGATGTTTACATTGTTTCACAATTTCCAAAGGTGGTCCGAAGACCACAAGTGTGAAGTTTTAAAGAACTTAAATGTGTGGTGTAACATTTTCTTAAATTTATAATTTTATTTTGGATACTTTTTTATCATACCTCCTAATACATTTTTGTATTAATTTTACCTGTGAAGTACCTGTAAAGTGTAAATTATTAAACTGTCAGTCACATCTGAGATGTGCATCGCAGTGAACTGATCATGCACAAGTTGGTTTTGGTGTTGTATGCTGTTTTTGTGTATCGGTGTCTATCTCAACAGATGTAGGAGATGGGTTGAATTCTGAAGTATTATATAAAAACGCAACAACAATATTGGGAAAACTATTATTTCGCCAGTAAAGTACTGCCAAAGTAATTCACCATGTGTGAAAACAACTCACAAATCCGTTCTGTGAACGACGCGATTTATATAAACAGCTTCCGTGTAACAAGGATTTTAGATAAAATAAGATTAATTAAAAGAATGTTTAGATAATTAATTCAGTTGTAAATTTAAGTTAGCAGTTAAATGTCGCACATTTATATATTTCTATAGGCATTATTACTTAACCGTTTAAACATTCCTTTGACTTGGTTATGGATTGCTTTGTGAATGGGCAAAAACTAGCTCTTTTGTGCTGGTTGAGGAGAGACTTCGAAACGTGGAGGGAAGTTACTTTTACCTTCATTGCTTTTGAGTCTGTATTAAAGCACTTGTTCACATTGCAACAGTAATTTTAAGATTTGAAATATAATTAAAGTTCAAAGTTGACAAATAAGGTGATAGTTGCATACTGACATTAATTCTGCGTGTGCTATTTTGTAATTCTATGTTTCTATATTTTTCTTATTTTCTGTTTTTTTTCTAATTTATTTCGCTTTTCATTGATTTATTTTTGTGATAGATAACGATAATTACTACAAACACAATGTTAATGCAATCGTTAATGGAAATGATCCTATTTTTTATTCCGAAATGAATTTGTAATGCCTTGTTCTGTGTTAGGAAGTAATAAGATTTATAACTAACTTTTTCAGATTATGACTTTACCTACTTGACCTAATGAAACAATTAAATTTTGATTCAAAGTACATACTTTTAGTATTAGAATTTATAGTAGAGTGTACAGTTTTAGCACTACTCTTGTGGAGAATTAGTGTTTGTAAACATTTCTGGCAATAAAATAGTCCAATGAAAACTGTCGTTTTTTTTTAAGGCACCAACACTAGGCAGTACAGACGATGCGTCCACGCATTGTAGGGGTGTGTTACAATAGCAATGATTAATCCATCTGGATTGGCCATCGCAATGCCAGATATTTTCACCTTTGGCGCTGTCGATTTAAATAAATCATTATTCTCGTTATACCTGACAATAGTTTTTTTTTTTAATTTTGCGTATTGAATAGGTACTAGGTATAAAATGCTACGAAATAAATGCATAGGTACTACTAAAATAAAGTTGCCATGCAAACAAAAGTAATTATTCTTAATTTGCATTACATACGTAGATTATTTGTAATTACAGAAATGTAATATATTACAACTGTACCTAACAAATAAAATTCATGTTAGCAAACAACTCTGATCCTAAAATGCTTAAATGTACATACATGACATTCTATGTAATTATTATGTCATTTGTACATACACAACACATACAAACATTATTAGTGATAAGGTATATACCAATTAGGTGCCTAGGGTGAATCAAGGTCGGCCATCGCCTTGGAGACTAGACCGTACACATAGCGACACATGTTTTTGAGTCTTGTAAGCCTCAGTAGATTGACTATGTTTGAACGGAAATGATGAAATTATGAAAATGAGAAAGGCATGAAAGAGATCTGATTCAAGAAAGAGTACAAATATGCAGCCTTTTCTCACGATTATTGTTTTATTCTCGCTCTCTTGCGTTTCATTTTCGCAGAATACGCAAAATATTAACGTTTGTGCGTACAAGGATGCTATGAAACTATTCCAAATAACTATTTAAAAATGAAAAACTGTTATTAATGTTTTTTTTTAATATTCATAGTGCTCATCAATGAGGAAAATAATGCACTGGCTGAAAAAGCTTTTGAAGTGGCGAAGGAGTACGTCCGACGGAATCCAAGTCTGGGTTTGGCTATAGATCCGGTTATAGTCGTCGGTAATCGTTCGGATGCAAAGACATTCTTAGAGAATGGTAAGGCTATGTTTGGTAGTAACAGGTTTTTATTTCACATTCATCATCATCATCATTACAGCCCTTCACAAGTCCACTGCTGAACATAGGCCTCCCCCAAGTAACGCCACAAAGCACGGCCCTGAGCCACCTGCATCCATCGACTTCCTGCATGTCTTACCAGGTCGTCACTCCATCTAGTGGGGGGGTCGCCCAACACTACGCCTACCGGTACGAGGCTGCCACTCGAGAACCTTTCCTCCCCATCGGTTATCGGGTCTTCGAGCTATATGGCCGGCCCATTGCCACTTCAGCTTACTAATCCGTTGGGCTATGTCGGTCACTCTGGTTTTACTGCGGATATCCTCATTTCTGAGTCTATCACGCAGAGAAACTCCGAGCATAGCCCTCTCCATAGCTCGCTGAGCGACCTTAAGCGTCCTCATACGGCCAGCAGTGAAGGACCACGTCTCAGATCCGTAAGTCATCACTGGCAACACGCACTGGTTGTACAATCTAGTTTTTAGAGATTGAGGTATACCTGACGAAAAGATATGCCGTAATTTCCCGAACGCTGCCCAGCCGAGTTGAATCCGTCGATTGACCTCTCGGTCGAAGTTGGACTTACCTAGTCGGACTATTTGTCCCAGGTAAACGTATTCGTCAACAACTTCGAGCATAGTGCTCCCAACAACTACCGGCATAGGTGTGACATGGACATTGAACATGATCTTTGTTTTATCCATGTTCATCTTAAGACCTATCCGTTGGGAGGCACTATTGAGGTCATTGAGCATAGTGCTTAAGTCCTCCAGCGATTCTGCCATAAGGACTATATCGTCGGCAAATCGAAGGTGAGTGATGTACTCGCCATTGATGTCAATACCGTATCCTTTCCAGTCCAGTAGCTTGAAAACGTCTTCCAATGCAGCGGTGAAGAGTTTCGGGGATATAACGTCACCCTGTCTTACACCTCTCTGCAGTTGGATAGGTTTCGAGCTCTGGTTCTGTACTCGGATAGCCATCGTAGCCCTACTGTACAAACACTTCAGCACTTCGATATACCGACAGTCAACTTGGCACCGCTGAAGGGACTGTAGCACCGCCCAAATTTCGACGGAATCAAAGGCTTTCTCATAGTCCACATACGCCAGGCAAAGTGGCAGATTGTACTCTTCAGTCTTCTGTACAATCTGCCGCAGGGTATGTATGTGGTCTATGGTACTGAAGCCTTTTCGGAAACCGGCTTGTTCGGGAGGCTGGAAGTCGTCAAGTCTGCGTGCGAGACGATTCGTAATGACTCTCGAAAACAGCACGTAGACGCGGCTCAGAAGGGAAATCGGTCTGTAGTTCTTTAAGAGAGCGTTGTCGCCTTTCTTAAAGAACAAGACCACCGCACTTCTGCTCCACGCCTCTGGAGTAGTGCCACCATGGAGGACGGAATTGAAGAGCTTCTGAAGGACTTCAAGTACCGGTGTTCCACCCGCTTTCAGAAGCTCCGCTGTAATTCCATCCTCGCCTGGGGCCCTGCCGTTTTTAAGGTGCTGGAGAGCCATTCTAATCTCGCTTAGACTGACGTCCGGGATATCATCGGAATAGTGTCGGATAAGACTTGCTCTTGGATCGTTACTCACACTTGCGTGTGGCTCCAACGATGATGTGTACAGCTGCCCATAGAACCTCTCAATCTCACTCAAAATCTCAGGTGTCCCGGAAACGATGTTGCCACACTCAGTCTTCAGCCTTGACAGTTGGCTCTTTCTGGCAGACAGATCTCTGGCAAAGACTTTGGAGCCCTGGTTCCGCTCGATCGCTTCTTTAATACGAGAAGTATTAAAGTTGCGTAAGTCTCGCCGTATGCATTTGGAGATCTGTCTGTTCAGTTGCCTGTATGCTGTCAAATCTGTTGACGATTGCAGCCTCATCTCCCGTCTAACAGCCATGAGATTAAGAGTGTGATCGGAGAGTTTTTGTGTTCTTCTGCGGCGGGTCTTGCAGAACTTAGCTCCGACCGCATGGACAGTTTCCACGAGCTTGTCGTTCATATCGTCCACTGCATTGCAATCTTCTAGGCACTGGAAGCGGTTACGTAACTCGAGCTGAAAGGTTTCGGGATTCTGGATTAGAGCACGAGGGGGACGGAGCGTTGACTTCATTAGACGAGACCTCTCCAACTTAACGTTTAGGTTCAGTGTGCCTCTAACCATTCGGTGATCGCTGCCAGTTTTCACCCTTGCGATCACTGAGACATCACTGAACAGTTGGCGTCTGGTCGTCATAATGAAGTCAATCTCATTTTTTGTCGAACCGTCGGGGCTCGACCAGGTCCACTTCCTGTGGGGCCGCTTCTGGAAGAAAGAGTTCATCATAAAGAGTCCCTCTTTCTCCATAAAGTCGGCCAGCTGCTGGCCCCTTCGGTTCCGTTGCCCTACTCCAAATTTCCCTACCTTCAGCTCACCGCTTTCTCTTGTGCCCAGTTTTGCGTTGAAGTCTCCCATCAACACCGTGTAGTAGGTTTTGGAGGAATGTATGGCTCTGGAAATATCCTCATACATTTCCTCCACCTCCTCATCGGG